TTTTATGTTTGTTTGTGATAAGAGAGAAAATAATGAGTGTGTGTTTTATATAAAGAAGATAAAAAAAGAAAAAAAAAAAAAAATATAAAAAAACATAATTTAAGTTTTTTTTTTTTTTTTTTTTTATATATAAAAAAAATATAAAAAAAAAAAAAAAAAAAAATAAATAGTTGGGGTGGGGGTTGGGGGTTGGGGGGGGGGGGGGGGGGGGGGGGGGGGGGGGGGGTTCGGTGCTTATAAGTGGGGAACTTATGCATGTAAGCAGCAGTTTAATGTATACAACAGTTTTACGTGCATAACACATCTGAATTTTTGCAGGCAAAGCTTTTGTAAGTATTGTGGATATCATTGAAGTAATCTATGGTGGAGGAGGAAAGTACTGAAAGACTTCAACACTTTCTTTGGTCTGTTTTAACTGAAAGAGGGAAATTAAGCTCAATAATAATCTTGTTCAAAGTGCACAATACTCACCCTTTTGATTGGTCCATAGAGTTCCATCTCTCTTCTGAGCTTAGATTCAGAGGTATCATAGTTCTAAACAAAATTTTTAAAACAGAAAAATAAATTCTAACCAGAGTTGAGTCGTCCAGATAGGAAGGTAAGTTCTTTTGTTCCCATGTTTACATTCAATTCATTTTGTTAATGTCATTCCATACACTCCATACATAATAAAAGGCAAAAGGAATCGCACTCAGCTTTCGACTAAGTGACTTAGTGGAGTTCATAATTTTACGTGTAAATTTAACAGATTTAGTAATCTGAAAAATTTCCACTATTATAAGCCTTAGTATTCTCCAGCGAAGACTTTATCTCCATACATTTCTTCAAATAATAAAGTGAGAAAAATGTTATGTGAACGATACATTTCCCCTTGTTGATCACTTTATTACTTCTCATAAGCTTTTCCCTTGATTACGTATCTTTTAACTTGAGGGCTGTCACTAAAGGCTACTGACTCCCAGCTGCTGTTGTAGGAAACAAGAGGAAGATTAAGAAACACTTCCTAACTGTTTAATTCCCCACCTGCAAATTTTATAGACCTGACAATTAACAGTTATTGGATGAGGTTGAGCAAAATACCATGTTTTGTCAGTGGCAAGCAGTTCAATTATTTGCCAAAGCTGAAGGCTGAGGCAATAATTGATCTGTGAGACACTGACAAATCACAATATTTTGTGATAACCGAGTTCAATAATGTTATTGTTTTATCATTCAGTCACCAAGTTTGTTTTTTGTAAAATATTTTTCGAAAAGCTGCCAATTTCACCCATGAGTGATCGTAAGAAGGAGAAAAGCATGGAGCCAAACACAGCTGGACGACATTGTGCATGAGCAGACCATTATTAATAATTGTAGGCAGTTATTTGCAGGTCAAGTGGTGGGTTCTTGGCCAATGAAAAGGAACAAAAATTTGCATGAAATAATAATAAGAATTGTTAGTGACAGCCCTTTTAAGAGAATATTGATTTTGGTAACTCTTGGGTCTCAAGTTAATTGATTAAACAAGTGCTACAGTAACCTGAAAGTAAGGAAAAGCACTACATACAATTCTTCCAACAAAAAGTGTCTTAAAGGCATCAGTTCCAACAGCATTAGCATCACTGTGGGGATCCCCTGAAAAAGAACAGAAATTAATAAATTATATGTCCGTGCTCCTGACCCAGGCTTGAAAAACTTCTGTCAGTCAGAAACAGTGGGTTTTCTTCATAGGCAAATGACTTGGTAAGGGCTTAGCTCACTTGCCCCAGGCAAGATAATTTAAGCAAGCTAAGAACAAGTTGTTATTTAAGCAATAGAAAACGTTTTCTGTGTTTGCATAGCCTGATATAAACACGAGAGGGGTTGGGAGAATAACTGTCTCGAATTCTCCCAACCCCTTGAGTTAATTTAGATTTAATTTAGATTTAATTTAAATCTAAACTGAAAAGCTACTTGTTTAGAATAGATTATTTTTATCTTTCTGTGGACCTTGTCAGTGCACTTTCTAAATGTTAGTATTCCTTGAACATAGCTTTTAAGATCTTTCAATTTTCAGCAAAATTAGCTAATTTTATATGTCTCTTTATTTCATATTATTATTTATATTTCTTGTTAAGCACTTTAGAACCTTGTATAAAGCACTGTATAAATAAAGAATTAGTATTTTTAGTATTAAGCAATGACCCTATGAGGAAAACAAAAATGTGAGAGCTGCTTGCCCAAAGGACAAACTGAAATTCAATTTTTGTTTTGAGCTCTATGTCACAGGCTAAACCAGCAGGCAAGAAACAACAATCTTATTGATCTTACCTAGTTGTACCGCAGAAGTTATCCCAACTACTGTTGCACTTAAAGCAAGTACAAAGCATATAAGGAACACTGACAGTCACTTACATTGTTCCAATTGATCATCCAGAAACTTTGTTGTTCGCTCCACTTTCTCTTTCCTCTGAAATGATCAATGAAAGCCCATTACAAAAAATCACCTCTCCAATAAAAGTTAAAAGATTACTCTAAATTCAGTGCCCAAAGCTGGCCAGGACTATTTTTGTGAGATCAAGGGTTATCCTGAGGAGACAAGCGAAGATTTGAACTGCTTTTATGTTTGTTTTGAACAAGACAACAGAATGACAATGTAAATAGGCTTAAAAAGGCAAGCAGCACAATAAGGTTTTGTAACTTGCTTTCTAACAGAGTATTTTGCATTAGAAAGGCTTTCAGATTGGGGGTAGAAAATTCTTTTAGGGACTCTTGTGTAGAACAGGGCAGATTACCAATTGGTAACACAATATAAACTTTAAAGCAGCCAATACAATAAGCACTTAAAAAATGGCACCTTTCGTTCTGTCTTCTCATCTCTGGTTTCACCTCGAGTGGGTGGTGGAGTAGTTTCTGGATCCTGAAAACATGACAAAATATTCATCATGTACCATAGTTTGCAATATTATCTACTCAAAACTTTCACTATCAGAGTTAAGGTGTGGAGGAAATCTTAAGTGAACAAATAAACTACAGTCCACTCTCTACAAGATAAACAACCTTGCTGCAGCAAAAAGGAAATGCTTCAACCTTTAAGCCCCAATATCAAGTTACAAATTTCCAAACTGATCTCCCTACATTTCCTTAAAGAATCAGTGGAAAAAATTTTCCCTTTGTTGATTATTTTAACAATTCACATAAATGTTTCTCTTGATTATGTATTGAAATCGTTACAGGTAGTTCTTATGCTGCTCATTAGCCTGTGCCAAAGACAATCCTAAACTTCTGGTTAAGTCCATCTACGAAACAGTGCCGAAATCCTTGTTCTGGGCTCCCACCTGGTTATCAGGATTTGAGTATGCGCCATAATTGGTCTGTTAAAAATGCCATTTTGGATTTGCCCATCAAGCAAGTTGCTGAGTCTGTTGGGAGCCCAGAAAAAGGATCTCAGCGCTGCTTCACAGACGTTATTAACTGGGTTTAGATTACATCTGCAACCCAGGCTGCTTATTTACTAGTTCCTGGTTTCTGAAACGTGCACCCTGGCAAACTTTGCCGTGTTACATGGCAGTAACATGACTTGGTTTCACACGTCATGCAACTGCAGCACGCACTGCACTCAGATCATATGTTATCAATAAATTTTTGTACATTTTCAAGTTTGGCTGAAATGGTTAATTTCGTTTCAGCAAATTCAATTTGACGCCTGAAACTAAGTTACACTGCAGTCATACTACACTACTTTTGAACCAGCTTAGCTTGGCAGTATTGCAGCATTTAAAACAGCCCAAGTGTAAAGCCAACATAACTTTGGGGGAAATAACTTTCAGCCTGGCCTGCTGATTTGTAACTGTGAATTTTTCACCAAGCACAGCACATGGAATAACACAGGAGATCAAATTTTAAAAGGTATTGAATAGATTGATTTTTTTGGTTTGAACAGCCTTCAAGCCATTAGATTGCCGAAGTCAAACAGAAGGCTAACCACTTTTATGGACCAATTTCGAATTTCTTGTTTCCATACAACAATTAAGCAAGTCACCATAAGTAAAGATCAAGGAAAAACTTTCACGAAAAAAGAAATTTCATAAGCAATGAGAACTTAACCGGTGAGCTAAACGAAATCAATTTGCAGCTCTTAAAAATCTAGTGTGTAGGAGCTTAAATAATATTATTCAATTACAACTATAAGTTCGCCACTCGAACGTAACAAATAAATTTCTTTTCATCTCTCACAGCAAGATGACCCAGAAATGTTATCAAGCTAAACAAAGTAAACAAGTTCTCACCTCGAATACTCTGACGAACTTTCCAAGCCCGGTGTACAGCCATGGCCGTTTTTGAAAACTGAGTTTATCCAAAGGCGGTAAGTATGGGATTGGATCTCGAGGAGCAAAAAGTGCGAGCAGATTCGGCGGCAAAAAGGCCGTCATTTTCTTTTGGCAAAACTCCTTGTTTTACCACAACTAATCAAAAACCGATTTCATTCAAAAATCATGTAAAAATTCAGCTCCAAAGCCACAAGCACGCGTCGTCACCTCACGAAGCCTTAGCTTAACGCTCGCAAAGGTCTATGGGAGAAATATAACAAAAGTCATGATTGGTCAGCAAACCACATGTCTTTAAGTCATCCAATCAAATTCTTTGTTAAATCTGTGTCGTTATGTGATTTTCAAGATGGCCGACAGTGATCCAGCAAATATTCGCAATGGCTTGCGATTTTTTGATCGAACAGACGATTTAACGGCGTCAAAAGTTGGACTTGCAGCACGGGAAGGTGATGAAGAAACTTTAAGAGCTCTTCTAGCCAGTGGTATGTGTATTTCAGCTTACGTTATTACTGAAAACTTGCTAGTACAAAATTTATTACCCTATGTTTAATACTTGTAAAATAGGCCTACATTAATTATGTTTTTACAAAAATCTTCTTAAGTAAGATTTCCACATTGGATTAAAAGTAATCAAGACTTGTTTTTGATGCTTATGACAGTTGTTGGATGTGCGCTGTTGGAGTAGACCTGTGTCTTGTATGAACCCAAAACCAAACAATTTTATTTCCACCACTACTACACTATTTTCAGTTAAAGGCACAGGTGGCCCAAGCGTAATATGAGTTTTTGAATGGGAAAAATAGAGTTTGAAACTTAGATGAAATAAATGAAGTAAAAGCGATAAAAGTTATCAATAAAGTGTAAATATTGTTACCTGGAGTTGTTGTCTTTGTTTTTACGAAGTTTCAGCGGGATTTGAGTACTTTTACATCATCTGACCTGACAGTGTAATAATGAGAGATAAGGTAGGACAGAATCGCTCGATCGATCTTCAAAGCTGCTCAGAATCAGCTCCAAATTTCAAGCGAAAAAACAAACACACTCACAGCAAGGGCGGCTTCTTTGTTTTCACTCGGCCAATGAACGAAGCAACAAAACAAAACAAAGAAGCCAACCTTGCTTGGAGGTGGGTGCGTAGAGATTTGTCTTAACGAAGTAATGTCACCCTCTCCCGGTCAGTTATTATTTGACGCTAGCACCCAGTCACTGCCGAGCGATAAAACGGTTGAAATGTTACACTTCTACTAGTCACGGATAAATGGCGCCAATTTTTGAACTGTAGTTGATCTTTTCGATCGAGTTATGCGAGCCAAACACAAGGTTTACTGGAACGGATTGTAGGAAGGTGATCTTAGGGTACCACTTTGTGGATTCGGTGGCGTAAAATGTAAGTGTGTTTGTTTTTTCGCGTGAAATTTGGCTGATTCTGAGCAGCTTTGAAGATCGATCAAGCGATTCTGTCCTACCTTGTCTCTTACTATTACACTGTCAGGTCAGATGATGTGAAAGTACTCAAAGCGCGCTGAAACTTCGTAAAAACAAAGACAACGACTCCAGGTAACAATGTTTACACTTTATTGATACTTTTATCGCTTTTACTTCATTTATTTCATCTAAGTTTCAAACTCTATTTTTCCCATACAAACTCTCATATTACACTTGGGCTATCTGTGTTAAAGGTAGATTACAGTATTTACTCATGTATAATAAGCTTTCTTTTTTCAAAAGCATTTGCTTGTACGTTGGTAGAGGCACAGGCTGCAAATAAATTTTTTTAGAAGGATGTATTTTTGACCAGGTCACCATTGTAGTCAGAAAAACCAAAAAAAATAGGACACAAATTTTTTTAAATGTTTTATTTCTTTAATTTCTATGCAAATCTACAGCATAAAAAATGACAGTCTAAGTACTTGGTCTGCCCCATCATCATGTATGACCACCAGAAGCGTTTTGGCAGACATGGGCAACTTTTAGTGTGCCATTGTCCGATGATTAACTGTTATTTGTAGCTCTGCAGGAAGTGGTGTTCGGAATCGGCAGAGATTTCATAATCGATCATCAGAAAATAATAATCAGATTGGTCTACCTGATCAGACATCAACTATTATGATGGGAAAATTCTCTTATATACATTCCATTTATTTTTCACCTTTGTGCAAGACAAAGTACATGTAACACAAACTTTCTGAGCCCGACAACCAGTGAGCTCAGAATTTTTTCTGTGCTTCCTGGTGATGAAATTCTCTTCTTCTTTAATTTTTTATTTGCCAACAAGAATTTTTAATTTTTTCCCACAAACATTTTTGATTGAACATTTTCCAAAATGAATTATAGCATTGCTTGAAGGTTTTGATTGATGACTGATTAAATTGTTGTTGATTATCGGCACACCACTAGCTTGCAGACCTGATTTTTCTTTAGAAGAGTTGCTCTAATAATTAATCAAGTTACTACTGTATTTGTTAGGGGCACCCTGTGATGTTTCAGACAACCGTGGCTGGTTCCCAGTGCATGAAGCAGCTGCCGCAGGACACGGTAGTTGTCTGCGAAACTTACTGCAACACAGGAGTGAGGACCTTCTTGATTCAAAAGCCTATAGTGGTGAAACTGCTCTTTTCTTAGCCACTGTGAATGGCCATGTGGAGTGTGTAAGGACACTCTTAGAATTTGGTGCAGATGTGAATATCATGAACAATGAAGAAGTGAATCTTATTGCTGCTGCTGTAAAAGGTGGAAGCATAGAATGTTTTGAGGTTTGTCTTCAAAATCTTATTTTTAATCTAGCCATTGAAAGTTAAGGTAGTGGGGCTGAGTGGCCAGCACGTCGGACTGGCAATCAGGCGGTCATGGGTTTGACTGTCACTCAGGCCACCTACTGGATTTATTCTCGTTATCCCAAGTTAATTCTCAGCCGTTTTTGTAAATAGCTAACGGGCTGCCTCCTGCTAGTCAAGTTTTTTAATACTGTTATGTACTGAGCGGTTTTTTACTTCTAATTATTTGAGTGAAGTGCCCACAAACTAGCTGAATAAGCTAGGTGGACTTTCTACTTACTGTAAACAAACCTTCAACCTTTGAAAAAATAGTTTGCAGGGGAACTTTTTGGTACTGATATCATTTTTTCTTCAGATTTTCTCAGCATTCAATCTGGATGCAAATGGTCAGGACATTGGAGGTTGGAGTGCACTCCATGAGGCAGCATTTGCTGGGCGAGAAGACTTCATCAAGCTGCTTCTTTCCAGCAGAGCAAGCATCAACATACAGAACAGTGATGGGGCCACGCCTTTATTTACCGCAGCACAATATGGCAAGCATTCTTGTTTAAAACTGTTGTTAAAAGAAGGTGCTGATGTGAATATTTTGACTGTGGATGGAGCATCACCTTTGTTTATTGCTGCTCAGGAAGGCCTGGTTGATTGCATGAACACCCTCTTGGCTGCAGGTGATTGTTTTTTACTGCTTTTACCCATTGTTACACCTGTAATCAGTAACAGCCCATTTCAAAGTTGATTTAATTTATTCCTTTCAAAGCAAGGTTAATAAATCTGTCAGAATTTACATCGCTCGTGGCTCCCATGAAATCGCCAAGTGAAGACTGAGCTCCAATTGACCTCATTCAGTATGACTCATGTAGGTGCATTTTTCAGTTTCCAAGCAACACTTCGATAGAACCAGTTGATATCAAGGAGCATTGGTCAGCATTGTGTTGATTGTTTTTGCGGCCGTTTTGCAATCAAGAAATGCTTTTGCTGATTAATTTCAGCGGCAAAACTATTTTACAGAGAACATTGGAATTGCGTTTCAGTTTGGCTTTTTACTGTAAAAAACTTGCTTTTCCGTGAAATCAGTACCTCACAACTTGCATTTTACACTAAATTTACTCGGCCTTCAGTTTGCATTTGCATCTTTTTCTCGAGACTGGGTATCGGGCTCAGATATTTAAGCAAGGGTCTTGGTGAGTCTTGGATTTTACCATTTGTCACCCCTTATTTTGTAGGAATTTTTGACATAATTATGCAGAGTCACGACAGTCACTGTTAGTTGACAAATTGTACCAGAGCTAGGGCAAAAGCTAGGCTGTTCATTCCCAGATGGTTACAATGATCATTGACATCATTCCTTAGAAGTATGAATGCTTAATATGGACTTAATATGGATGAAGTAAATATTAGATTAGGGAAGCACATTCCACGTAAAAACAAAGTACTTACTAACCTCCTACGGTATGCAATAACAACAACAACAACTAATCTAACTTTTGCCGTGTCTTCTTAGGAGCAAGTCCAGAAACCTCCGTTATCGATGGAGCAACACCGCTACATGCCGCAGCAGAACGCGGGCACTCCGATTGCATCCAAATTCTCTTAAGCGCTGGAGGTAGCTCATGCATAGAGACGAGCCCTGAGAAAATCACTCCGCTGCATTTGAGCAGTCAGGAGGGTCATTACAAGTGCATGGAGTTGTTACTGACTGCGGGCGCCAACGTGGATGCGGCCACGCAGAGCGGAAACATGACTCCGATTTGCTTGGCTTGTCAAGGACACGCGGATTGTACTAGACTGCTCTTAGACTGGGGGGCAAATCCCAACCACATATACGAAGATGTAGATGTCCTTCCCAAGACACCGCTGATGGTTGCGGTGGAGAGCGACTGCGCTGATTGCGTGAAAATCTTGGCGGAACGCGGCGCGGATACAAACATGGCAACTTACACGTCGCCTCTTGTTCTTGCGGCGCAGAACTCCTCTTGTGAATGTGCCAAGATTTTGTTGGACTTCGGCGCTGATCCCAATTACAGCGACCGAGGGAAGAACACTGCTCTGAGTATCGCAGTGACACGATTCTGCTACGGTCATAGTCACAAGTCCAAAAAAGCACAGCTTGAATGCATTAAATTGTTACTTAAGCTGGGAGCCAGTGTGGATCCTCTTCATGAAGGAACTTGCGTGGCGTTTAGAGACCCCATCGCTATGAAAGTGCAAAGTCCTGACTTGTTTAAGGTGTTGTTAGAGTTCGAGGGAAACAGGCAAGAAACGCGCGAGATTTGTCGTGCGAACTCTCGCGCGAAGAAAACAGACTTGAACTGGCGTAGACTAGTACGGCTGACGAGTTCTCCTCGTACGCTGCAACATTTTTGTCGCCTGGTTATTAGAAAGAGAATTAGTAGCAACCGTGTACAACGAATACCTGAATTGCCCGTTCCACCTTCTCTAAAACAATTCCTAATGTATTCTGACTTGTAGACAAAACTGTCATTTTCCTTCTTGTGTTCTCCATTAAAACTTTTTGCGTTTGACCTAAAATCGCCCTTTCTCTAAAACTGGAACGTTCTACGGTTTTGTAGGATAAGACACGATACTAGAGACCTTTAGCTTCTAAGGGGGTAATTACATGTGACCAGGACGAACTCAGGCCGGTACGAATTTGTAATTTTTGCAGTCGTTTACATGAGACGGGTATGAAACACTTCGTTGGTTACATGAGACCGATACAAACTCAAAAACAGGAGATTGTTGTAGCTATATAACTTTCTTAACTCGATTATTTAACGTATTATTCACTAACTGCCCTAACTGGTACACAAGTTACACCAGTTAAGACAGTGAGTAGAGAACCGTAGATTTTACTGCTCCCAGAAAATTGTAAGCTTTATCTAACGCTCATCTGGTGTCATGTTAAATGCACAGCATCTCAAAATGGTGCAATCCCTCACATTAACCGAAGCATATCTTCAATTGAAGCTACTTCCCAGTCTTGTTTACAGTTATTCATAGAAGTGCTCTTATTTTGCTGAGAAAAAGCAAAAATGATGGAACCGTACGAAGAAACATGCTATTTATGGACCCGGTCTGAGATTCGTTTACGTTTTACGTGAGAACGGAACAGTCTCAGACCGGTACGAAAATAACTCGTGTCGGGTCAGCGACCGACGCGAAGTCAGACCGCTCTGAGTTCGTTTTTAGGCCGGTCCCACGTAAACGCATCAAACGAAATGTATGGAGACCGATACGATCTCATACCGGTCTGAGTTCGTCCCGGTCTCATGTAATTACCCCCTAAGACGAGTACAACTACAAGAACCAGACTCGGTGCAGACTTTCTCAAATACTTACTAGTGCGCACGCGCGTGAACCAGCCTCATTTTGGCGGGAAAATGCGTTAGCCGTCGTCATTCTACTACCAGGTTTAGCGAGAATGCAGTGATGGAGACAGGTTATCAAATGTTGGAAGTTTTATTATTTTGCGAGAAAAAGGGCTAAACCTCCTTCAAGAAAAATAACCGTGTTAACTTTTCTGGTGAAAAAAGAGTAAAGTGAAGCTTTCCGGAGTGTCCATTTTTTGACAATACGTGAAAATCTTTCCCTCGGCGTCGTCCTCTTCCTCGAATCAAAGGATCTCTTTCTACTGAGGGATAACCTAAAATTGCAGTTTTTTGCCCTAAAAATGGACGGCTCACACCGGGGTTAAGGCCATTTCATTTTATCAGCCGTCGAATGATGATATATATATATATAGCAGGATGCTCAGTTACAAAACTAAAGACGATATTGTTTTCTAAACGAACATTTTTTTTTCTCTTTTGCCATGGGCGTGTTCGGTATTCACGAGTTTGACGTGAACTTTGCGGTAGAAATTGCCTAAGAAAAGAGCTAACATTTGGCGACGCCACCATTGGTTCCTCGCGAAAAGACGTCTGAGAAACGAGCGCAGAAATTCCATACTGATGACTGTGTGTGTCACTACCAAGATCCTGACGTTGTTTGAGATTGGTTGAATTGAGGCAAACTCCCAACCAATCAGAAGCACTAAGCAGATCTGGGTAGTGACGCGTCATCAGTATGGAATTTCTTTGCTCGTTTCTCAGACGTCGTTTCGCCGGGAAACCAGTGGCGGGGTAGCGAAATGCCGGCTGTTTTCTCAGGCTACAGTAGAAAGTATAAAAACATTTTGATATTAAAAATAATCGAGCAGAGTTTGTGCACCCGAGAAAGTCTAACGGATAACTTACAAAATGACTTAAAAAATGAAAGGGGAAAAATACTTAAGGAAAAAGAAGCAAATTAACAATTCAATAACACAAAGAAACTATTTCTTAACCGGAAGTAAAACTCGCCTAAACAGCATTTCCGGCACCCGTTGGACAATGGATTATTGTAATTATTGTGACCAATCAATAATTTAGGAGTGTGAAACCAATAAAGAAAGCGCCAATGGTAACATGGCTCGCTTAATGGTTTGCTGTCGGGATTATATATACAAAGAAAAGATGTCCATTAGAAACAAAAAGCGTGTAGTCGCATGAATAAAATAAACTGTTACTTGTTTGAGGACAAAAACGCGAAACGTTCCATAGAGATCAAGGAGATAATTGTAGTAGAGTTTAGCGGCATTGAAAGTTGTTGTGTACCACTTGCTAGCTTTACTCGATCCAAGTGTCATAACATGAGAACGTACCTCATCGAGAATGGACACGAGTCTCTAACCATTCGAGAAATTTTGATGACAAAAATTGAACTCGCAGAAGAACCAATCTGTATCTAGTACGGCCGTTATGTACGCCTCATTAGTGCCAAACAGTTCTCAGACGACTGTCGAAACGACAGGTAAGTTGCATATACTTGAACTTTGCTGCCTTATTCTAGCAACGCGATCGGCGACGCTAGAAAATTTTTTAGCACAGAATCTTGTTATTTTTCTCGTGCGCTTCTCGTAAACAGAAGATCGCTAGCCTATGCAGTAATTTGTCGTTTCCGAATTGACAATATATGTGGTAACACATTTTTTTATATAGTAAAAATACAAACTGAAAAAAATTGTAATATTCGAATGACTGCAATAAAAGTAGTTTCTAAGTTTTATGTAAAACAAGTCGACTGCCAGGTGCAAGGAACAAATCTGAAGCTTGCCAGTTTCTCCTACGTTACTTGGAAATAATCCAAATTTATACTGTTACAGGTTTTATCATGCGATTTGCCGACTACGATCTAATTATATAAAAAAAGCTGTATTACTGCGATCAGCCATAGTTCTGCATTTTTTTAATATCATAAAAAAAGTATCATTTCTGGACGCTTTGAGTTTTCTTCAGCTCGAGGGTGCCTCGAGAGCATATGGCATACTTTAAATTATTAAATATTTACACCTTTCTTTTGTTAAAGCATCTAATATATGCATTCAGATCTTAATTACTACCCCAAACTATATAACAACTCTCATGAATTCAGGATCATAACTTGCGATATCGCTCCTTCAGTTTTTCTGACTATCTCGTAAAATATTCGAAACTTGTTATAACACTTGTTGTATTTTCATATTCACGAGTAGAGTTAAAACAATTCTCGCCTGAAATACACAATGAAAGGATAAAATAGCTATTATAATTAGTAAATAATAGTGCTTAGGGGCTAAAAAACCAAAGTCTTATCTCTTGACTGGGGTCAAACAATCTTGGACTTTAAATTCCAGTGATTTCCCTATATAATTAATAAGAAATAACAAAAAATAATGATAATTTAGATTTTTTCTTTCGGTTTTGTTTTCGAATGTCTTTTTGTTGTTAAAGAATTGAGGTAGATATTCATTGGTAAGATTTTTTGGCAAGTCTTGGCTATCCCGCTAAGCGACGTAGCCTTTACCATCTTATGGATCTTCTGCATGTAAGGAATTACGTAAAACAAAGAAATACTGCCGGAACCAATCAGAATTCAAATGTTTTTCGATCGGTTGAGTTTTCGTGGACATTTCGGAACTAATCGACACCGAGCCGAATTGAGTTTGTGCCTCGTGGTCGCTTTGCCAGCTATTCGTGGCTGATTAGCCTTGGGCTTATTCCTCGCGAAACAGTGAGACAAACTTGGTCGGTTGCTTTCGGTGGCCATTTGCTTTTGAAAAAGCTAATGCTTTATTAGATGTTGCCTTTTGTATTCATTACTGTTAAGAATTTTTAAATCCTTAATCTAATTTCCAGACCCCTTGTAATTTTTGAATATATAGTCTCGTCATTTTCTTTAACGGTCACTTAAGATCACTTTTGCAAAAGTGTGTTGAATAGCATATGAAACGTCAAGTTTATAAAATGCGAAAACTCACAATGTTTATCACCGCTGTTTGTGTTTTTTTTTTCTTATCAAACTACGATGGCCCAGGAACAAAAGTCTCTAAGAAGAATAAAAGTTAGGTGAAACTTTTTCGAAAAAGGAATCTGGCCATCGCCTTCGAAACAAGTTAGCCTGCATAGCAGACCAATGAGAGATTTGGGCGCAAAAAAAGACATGCTCTAGTCTTTAATTCTCTGCTATCGCGCGCAATAAACTTGCTTATCCTGCGCCCATTGGCCTGTAACAAAGGGTAAGTAACCAACGAACATTTTAATGTAAAGGATCGCAAACAATTCTACTAGAGGACGTAGGATCTACAGGAGATCTGATCAGTAAAAATATACGAAGTAAACAAAATCTGAAAAGCTGATCGTTCGTAAAACTTAACTTTGCAGGACATAAACAAGACATCGAAAGAACAAAAACAGAGCGGGGTTCCGGAGGGGGGGGGGGGGGAGGGCAGTTTGGGGGTAGGTACTGAGCCGCTCTTTGCTACCCTGTTTAAGACAAGAGACTGTTTTTCATGACCCTGTTTAAGACTGTAGCCCAAACGCCCTTTTTAAGGAGATATTTTCTTGTATAAAATACAATACAAAATAGGAAAAGAAATACATTTCTTTAATTTGTTTTGAGTCACAAACAAAAAGATTTTTTTTGAGATTACTGACAGAACAAAATTAGATTATTTTTAAAAATTTCGTTACACACGTAGACCGCACACCGCCAAAATTCACACCCTATCCAAGAAACCCTGTTCAAGACGCTCAATAGTGAAATTATATACCCTGTTTTAGACTCATGACCCTGAAAAGTGAAAACCATACCCTGTTAAGCGGCACATACCCGTATAGGCCAAATAAGGGAGTGCCCCCCTCACCCCGGGGCGGGGTTAGAGCTTTTGTACAGCTGTTTTGCCATTGTGGCCATGAGAAAGGCGGAAAAAAACTCACGATGACACGTGATGGGGTGATTCAGTAGGTGAGACATGCACTCCATTGTCAGGGCTTTTAACAGATTGTGCGGGTATGTCCTCGGCAGTTTTTCTGTTTGTTGCGCCCTTCTGATGAGACACAATAATGGCGAAACAGCTGTCAACGGCTACAACCCCGCTCTGTTTCTGGTCTATTTCGTCGTGGTTGATGAGAACAAAAGAAACATTCTGGTGATAAAATGGCCTATTGCGGCCAAAAAGGCAGAAAAAAGAAAATGGAACGCTTTATAATTTGGTCCCAATGGAAATTCCGGGCAAATTTAGTCGATTTTGCCCGGGATTTTGTAAGTATTCATGAAGTCCCAATAGTCCACACTAAACTCGTTTATAATTTATAATCTCTTTAAGCTACAGATCCTAGCCTGAATTTCAGCCGTCTTCTTGAGTTGCAAACTCCCGAGAAAGTTTTTGGGTTGTGGCTCAAGGAGACGGCAAAAGTTCAGGTTTGATAGATCTTATTCTGGCTGCTGCTGTTCGGGAAATGAGCCTGTGCTTGGGGTAGAACTCTGGAAAAAAAAAACCGCTTTTTTGAATTGACAAACCACTCCATTTTGTTTTGCTAACTGACACTGCTGACAGTTTTATCATGATTATCTACAAAACTATTGAAACCTCAATCTTCAATGTAAATAACAACAGCTTCTCGGGCCGTTATCGGGACGTTCGAGAAACGGGCTCCCGACCCGGGAGAGCGGTATAAATCGAGCCTAGTTCCTATTCGAAAATAAGAGTTACTAAGTAAACGTAGAGGCGTAATATTGATTTCTGTGATTTAAAGGACAGTGTTCGAGATGAAATCGAGAAACCATCCTCGCGTAGGTTCGCGTTTGGAGGAAAAATACAGGCAGCACTTAATCAAATTTCACAGTTGTGAGAAGCTCATCTGATTGGCTCCTGCCTCCTGCCTCCTGCAGGTACCAGTTATGGCATTTCAACACGTTGTTTAGAATGTGAACGTTCGTTTCTTTTTATTCATCTAGTTTTTTTTTTTTTTATCAGTGAGTAGGAATATTTTTCTGCAAAAAAAGATACCGATTTTAACTAGAGTAAGAAAAAAGTACCGATTGTTACCGCTGCAGGCGCCGACGTAGTCTGGTCAGCAGCAAAGTACAGCTAGCGATAGGCACGCCATGTACGATGCGGAAAGGGCGGCGGGGATTTGTTACGCATGACCGACTCGATGTTATTTTACTCTATCATCCTCTTTTGAGAAAGAAGTTACAATTGCAGCCGTCTCGAAAGTAAATTGTAGGTGTATGCACATTGTAGTGTAGAAGTAAGATAAGATACTTCTGAAAAAAGGCAGAAGTGGGTACTAATCGCCTATTTTTTGATGCGAAGTTAAGCCTTTCGATTCTTGTTTATCATCAGATTCAGGAAGCCGAAATATGAGGCACCTGTATTACTATAACAACAACGATGGTGGAGGTGAGTTATTATTTCTTGCTACATATTTCTAACAGCACAGAACAATCAAGAGGAGGTCGAGAATTTTACTTTACTCAATTCTCCATTCACAATTTTAAGATTGCCGATAATACACCTTGTTGTCTGCTTAAAATTTTGCATAAACTGTTCAGTGTTTTTAATACCTAGAAGAAATTGGAAACAAAGGGTATGCAAAAGTTTAGGGGAACACGAGGTGGCTTTTTTTGTCTGCAAACTGATGTAGTCTGATACACAGCCGTTTTTAGTGTCGTCACGCAACGTTTGTGGGGAGGAGGTAACGTGACCATACTAAAAACGGCTTTGTAGCAGACTAAAACTGATGACTGCTTCAAGGTTTTTGAGAAAGGTGTTATATCTTTTATGTCACAGACATGGGACAAAGGAAAAAAGGGTAAGTCCCCAATGGGATGGAAACCTTTGACATCTCAGAGTACTGCTAAAGTATCTAATAGCATGCTTAAAAGGGTGCGAGGACAAAGAGAGGATAACGTGTCCTTTTATCCTCTCTTTGGTGAGAACGCAATGGACGTCCTGCTCCTTTTCTCCTAAAGCAAGATTTTTTCATTCTGCTGCAACTTTTTGAAGTGGTTTTTGCTTTCCAAAAAATAATAGATGTTTAAAGAAGAATACAAAATATCTCTAGGCCACTTGAACTCTTGAACCTCCAAGATTCCTTTAATTCATTTGACCAAGAGAGTCCATCTTCAAGCATGAGACAGGCAAGGCAAATGTAAAGAAACTAATAAACTAAAACACCAACAATAAAATACATACAGTAACAATAAAACCGTGCCTTAAGCATGCGTACAGCTGTGTCTTTCAAAATGTCGAGAAGAGATGACACCTCAAAACACGCGGTTGATTTGAGATGAGAAAAAACAGGGAAAGAAGGATGTTTCTGGAGTCCATTTTTGTACATTTCTCTTTCTTTTTCTCTGACCGTGTGTCTGGCAGTAGATATTCCATTCTTGTCCGAAAATCAAAGAAATAATAAGTGGCTGTAGGAATTTGCAACTCTAACCAAAAAAAACGACAATTTAAATGAAGATATGATCGTAGCAGTGGTAATTGCAATTTAACTAATAAATAGCAAATTAACCCGAAAAAATTTCGGGACTTCAACTTCTTTATTTACGTTTGTATTTCTGCACATCTCATCATCTTCAAAAAAAGACAATGTAAAGTCAATAGTATTCCTCTTAAGCATGTATGGTTAAACAAGGGTTAGGTTATTTGAGAGTGCATGAGGATTGGTGAGGGTATCTGAAAATGTGAAATCACTGTGTGAGAGAGAAAGAGGGAAATTCCAGACACTGCCATGAGTGAAACATGCTGGTTTAAACTCTTACAATGTGTACATGAATCACCAAAAGGATAAAAAAGTCCAGGTGACACGAGAGAGCTAGAGGTTGAAACGAACCTTTATTTAGTAAACTTGAACCTGATTGGCTGCATGCAGAAACGCGATTACTAGTAAATAGGCCACTTCTGAGTTCTAGAAACTCTCACTTTCATTTTATTAATTCTCATAACTTATATCTGGACAGTGTATGGATATTGTTAGGAGAAAATGTAGGTACTGAGCCGCTCTTTGCTACCCTGTTTAAGACAAGAGACTGTTTTTCATGACCCTGTTTAAGACTGTAGCCCAAACGCCCTTTTTAAGGAGATATTTTCTTGTATAAAATACAATACAAAATAGGGAAAGAAATACATTTCTTTAATTTGTTTTGAGTCACATACAAAAAGATTTTTTTTGAGACTACTGACAGAAAAAAATTAGATTATTTTAAAAAATTTCGTTACACACGTAGACCGCACTCCGCCAAAATTCACACCCTGTCCAAGAAACCCTGTTCAAGACGCTAAATAGTGAAATTATATACCCTTAAAGACTTATGACCCTGAAAAGTGAAAACCATACCCTGTTCAGCGGCACATACCCGTATAGGCCAAATAAGGGAGTGCCCCCCTCACCCCGGGGCGGGGTTAGAGCTTTTGTACAGCTGTTTTGCCATTGTGGCCATAAGAAAGGCGGAAAAAACTCACGATGACACGTGATGGGGTGATTCAGTAGGTGAGACATGCACTCCATTGTCAGGGCTTTTAACAGATTGTGCGGGTATGTCTTCGGCAGTTTTTCTGTTTGTTGCGCCCTTCTGATGAGCCACAATAATGGTCTATTTCGTCGTGGTTGATGAGAACAAAAGAAACATTCTGGTGATAAAATGGCCTATTGCGGCCAAAAAGGCAGAAAAAAGAAAATGGAACGCTTTATAACTTGGTCCCAATGGAAATTCCGGGCAAATTTAGTCGATTTTGCCCGGGATTTTGTAAGTATTCATGAAGCCCCAATAGTCCACACTAAATTCGTTTATAATTTATAATCTCTTTAAGCTACAGATCCTAGCACTACTAAACTCGTTTATAATTTATAATCTCTTTAAGCTACAGATCCTAGCCTGAATTTCAGCCGTCTTCTTGAGTTGCAAACTCCCAAGAAAGTTTTTGGGTTGTGACTCAAGGAGACGGCAAAAGTTCAGGTTTGATAGATCTTATTCTGGCTGCTGCTGTTCGGGAAATGAGCCTGTGCTTGGGGTGGAACTCTGGAAAAAAAACCCGCTTTTTTGAATTGACAAACCACTCCATTTTGTTTTGCTAACTGACACTGCTGACAGTTTTATCATGATTATCTATAAAACTATTGAAACCTCAATCTTCAATGTAAATAACAACAGCTTCTCGGGCCGTTATCGGGACGTTCGAGAAACGGGCTCCCGACCCAGGAGAGCGGTATAAATCGAGCCTAGTTCCTATTCGAAAATAAGAGTTACTAAGTAAACGTAGAGGCGTAGTATTGATTTCTGTGATTTAAAGGACAGTGTTCGAGATGAAATCGAGAAACCATCCTCGCCTAGGTTCGCGTTTGGAGGAAAAATACAGGCAGCACTTAATCAAATTTCACAGTTGTGAGAAGCTCATCTGATTGGCTCCTGCCTCCTGCCTCCTGCAGGTACCAGTTATGGCATTTCAACACCTTGTTTAGAATGTGAACGTTCGTTTCTTTTTATTCATCTAGTTTTTTTTTTATCAGTGAGTAGGAATATTTTTCTGCAAAAAAAGATACCGATTTTAACTAGAGTAAGAAAAAAGTACCGATTGTTACCGCTGCAGGCGCCGACGTAGTCTGGTCAGCAGCAAAGTACAGCTAGCGATAGGCACGCCATGTACGATGCGGAAAGGGCGGCGGGGATTTGTTACGCATGACCGACTCGATGTTATTTTACTCTATCATCCTCTTTTGAGAAAGAAGTTACAATTGCAGCCGTCTCGAAAGTAAATTGTAGGTGTATGCACATTGTAGTGTAGAAGTAAGATAAGATACTTCTGAAAAAAGGCAGAAGTGGGTACTAATCGCCTATTTTTTGATGCGAAGTTAAGCCTTTCGATTCTTGTTTATCATCAGATTCAGGAAGCCGAAATATGAGGCACCTGTATTACTATAACAACAACGATGGTGGAGGTGAGTTATTATTTCTTGCTACATATTTCTAACAGCACAGAACAATCAAGAGGAGGTCGAGAATTTTACTTTACTCAATTCTCCATTCACAATTTTAAGATTGCCGATAATACACCTTGTTGTCTGCTTAAAATTTTGCATAAACTGTTCAATGTTTTTAATACCTAGAAGAAATTGGAAACAAAGGGTATGCAAAAGTTTAGGGGAACACGAGGTGGCTTTTTTTGTCTGCAAACTGATGTAGTCTGATACACAGCCGTTTTTAGTGTCGTCACGCAACGTTTGTGGGGAGGAGGTAACGTGACCATACTAAAAACGGCTTTGTAGCAGACTAAAACTGATGACTGCTTCAAGGTTTTTGAGAAAGGTGTTATATCTTTTATGTCACAGACATGGGACAAAGGAAAAAAGGGTAAGTCCCCAATGGGATGGAAACCTTTGACATCTCAGAGTACTGCTAAAGTATCTAATAGCATGCTTAAAAGGGTGCGAGGACAAAGAGAGGATAACGTGTCCTTTTATCCTCTCTTTGGTGAGAACGCAATGGACATCCTGCTCCTTTTCTCCTAAAGCAAGATTTTTTCATTCTCCTGCAACTTTTTGAAGTGGTTTTTGCTTTCCAAAAAATAATATATGTTTAAAGAAGAATACAAAATATCTCTAGGCCACTTGAACTCTTGAACCTCCAAGATTCCTTTAATTCATTTGACCAAGAGAGTCCATCTTCAAGCATGAGACAGGCGAGGCAAATGTAAAGAAACTAATAAACTAAAACACCAACAATAAAATACATACAGTAACAATAAAACCATGCCTTATGCATGCATACAGCTGTATCTTTCGAAATGTTGAGAAGAGATGACACCTCAAAACACGCGGTTGATTTGAGATGAGAAAAAACAGGGAAAGGGGATGTTTCTGGAGTCCGTTTTTGCACATTCTCTTTCTTTTTCTCTGACTGTGTGTCTGGCAGTAGATATTCCATTCTTGTCCGAAAATCAAAGAAATAATAAGTGGCTGTAGAAATTTGCAACTCTAACCAAAAAAAAAAAAAAAACGACAATTTAAATGGAGATATGATCGTAGCAGTGGTAATTGCAATTTAACTAATAAATAGCAAATTAACCCAAAAAAATTTCGGGACTTCAACTTCTTTATTTACGTTTGTATTTCTGCACATCTCATCATCTTCAAAAAAAGACAATGTAAAGTCAATAGTATTCCTCTTAAGCATGTATGGTTAAACAAGGGTTAGGTTATTTGAGAGTGCATGAGGATTGGTGAGGGTATCTGAAAATGTGAAATCACTGTGTGAGAGAGAAAGAGGGAAATTCCAGACACTGCCATGAGTGAAACATGCTGGTTTAAACTCTTACAATGTGTACATGAATCACCAAAAGGATAAAAAAGTCCAGGCGACACGAGAGAGCTAGAGGTTGAAATACCCCTTTATTTAGTAAACTTGAACCTGATTGGCTGCATGCAGAAACGCGATTACTAGTAAATAGGCCACTTCTGAGTTCTAGAAACTCTCACTTTCATTTTATTAATTCTCATAACTTATATCTGGACAGTGTATGGATATTGTTAGGAGAAAAATGATCTTGGTCACTACTGGGAATTAAAGGGCCTTAAATAGCCTGTTGCCAAATATGGGATTTAGAGTCGTGTCATGTGACTTTAAAACTAACAAAAATGACAGCAGAAACAGCCTCACAGGAAAATATCACATTTATGGCTTATGAAAGCAGAAAAAGAAAAGGAAAAATTACCAACGACAATGAGAATCTTATACCGCGAAAAGAAAGTAGCAATATACTTTTGAATAACAACTGATCATGAGTAATGAAAAATATTAAGTCGTGGAACCCTTAACAGTGCTTCTTCGTCTACTGGCATATGCTTGATCAAGTTGCAATTTAGAATTTTTTTTTTTTTAATATGTATGTTCGATAAGTAACCTTTGATTAGTTTTGCTCTTAATTGCCTTTTTCTCGCGTCTGAACGTTCCGGCATGCAGAGAAAAATTTGGTTGGCTAACCACAAGAAAGAAATATCAAAGACTTATACAAGTTCAGTTTACGAACAACATAGATCAAAATCCGCAAAGAAAGATATTTTTTGCAGTGCTAGCGAAAGAAAGAGAATATCTCAATAGAACTTCAAGTGTGATCGAGGCCATATATTTATTCATGACTTCGGGAATTGTATCGAGAAGGGCCTAAAGTCTTCGGGTTCGTTTATTGAATTAGAAAGCACCATTTAAGAAGATATTGGTGCCTTCTGGTTTAATTGTTTCTTAAGGGTGGTGTTTGTAAGTTAGCTAAAGATTGTATGCTGCGACCATTGTAGGTGAACTTAGTCTCAAGTTCTAGAAGAGAGCGGGCGTTGTTAATTCTGAACGCCAATTTGATTCTAGAATTGAGCGGTTTTTGTAATATGATTAACGTAATACCATTCAATCGGTGTTCATTTGTCTATTTAAGCATTGTGGTCGAGAAGCAGATCTTTCTAGAAAGCAGTTGATTTCTTAGCTTTTTCTGCCTATTTCCTAAAGACAGTCGGGTTTGCAGTTGATTGTAGTGTGTTATGAATTCAAGGTCGAGTAAAACAGAGTTGTGAGGTAAAACACCAATCCAGCAGCGCTTAGATTTGTACAAACGTTATCCACTACCAGGGTGCCAGGCCAGAAAATTGTAGTTATCAATTCAAAACGATAGTGTTTAAAAATATTAAACCAACAGGTACCAATATACGAACATTTAACTTCAGAACGGAATCCTTTAAAGCGGTTTTAGAGATAAAATTAGGGTTTCGGAATCAGATTCTCTGTTGAACATCTATCGGATTAAAAGTCGACGTTAGACAAAGAAGAGTTTTATTGAGTTAAACTGAGAACTCCTTTCGATCTTTGCTTTTTAAAAATATTTCTGGATATTAACTTTCCTACACTAAGTAAACAGAGGATTTGAAACTTTGAAAACAGTTTTTTCTAGCATTATCGATACCGACAGTAGGCGCAATAACTCAGTCGTAGGCCGATTAAACCTGAGTTGATACGGCTTGTTCAGTCATCTGTACGCACACGTGCAGCGCTGTTGTTAAATAGTTTGTCGATTTTTACCATCAAGAGTCTGAACATTAGAAGCTATTCTCTGACGAAAGTTCAAGGTCGCACCCGAAAGCGATTCCCCTGCAGGACGTCGTTCTATACGTAAGTCTACTGCCATGTTGTAACCGTGCGTTTATTGTTTCGAAACTGCTCGGATATGAAAATTACTTGTTAGTTGTCGTTCGCTCATTACCCGGGCTGTTGTGCCATGATCGATTATTCACAATCCCTGCGACTAGGAAAGCGAGCTAAGCTAGGTAAGACATTATCTTTTCTTTCCTTTTTTACTGACAGATTTTTCACTATGCCAGTTACCCAGCGTCAGTATATTGTGCGTGGTTTATATCCCTTCTTTATCTGTTTGCTCTCATCATAAAAGTATTAAGTTTGGAGATATGCTGAATGCCAGTGTGTTGAAAAGAATATATAGCTTAATCATTCGACACACAGTCTCGACAGTTCAATAATCATTATTTCGCCAGCGTAGCTGATTGATTATTCTCCCGCCAAAACTCATCTCGTTTCCCCGTAGGCTTTTTATTTACTTAAGTTCAGAGCATTTGTCGTTTTATCAGTAGAATATTATTTGTTTTATACTCGGCACCTGTCGCGTCAACAATGTGTTACCGATTGAATGGAAAATGCTTTTTATGCTGGTCCAAACGAAGAATTAAAATCGGTCTGAATTTTGGTTCAGCGTTCGGGGTTTCATGTTCTTTTCTTTTTCTTTTTCTTGTTTTATTCGGGTGTGGAGGCCTGAGCAGAAATAAAATGACTTTTCAGATCGTTCGTTTTTAATGTACAAAACTTTATGAAGAAAAAAAAAAACAGAACAAAACAAAACAAACGCCCCCACGTCGAATCAAATTCCATCAGTTTTTTCGCGGACATCAATAGAACGCATTGATCAAAACGTCTGCTACGAAGTCGGGTTTTATCTGAGCCGACCTGCCCCCATATCTACAGCAATTATCTCAAAACATCGCCTTTAATATTCCGTCAGCTAACTCGGAGTAAACGTCAATCCATTCGTTAGTTTAAGTCGACTGTTTTGGTTGAATAGCAGTAAAAGTTTGTGGACCCAGGATTTCCTCAAATTGCATTCCTTAGATGACGTGTTTTTTTTTTTAACGTTAAGTTTTTCTTGAAAATGAAAACAATAATGATAACAATAACATCTATTCAATACTTTTATATTTTTCGTTGGCTTGTCTTCATGACTTGACCTTGTAAGGCAGGGATATTTAAGCTTCGATAACCCATCTTTGGCATTAAGCCCTGTGATAGTATTGATTTTGACAGGAAAACCGCAATTCTGTTTGGCTTTAATTTGACCCTCGCATGGCTGTTTTCTCACAGATTTACTTCAAAACGAAGTGATTTTGCTATTTTTCTACCGCGGGGGGCCTTATTATTCGATCACAGAAGGCAGCCATTCAGCAAAGAATTCCCTTAGTTCCATATCGGGGAGAACGCGTGGGTTTGAGCAGAGATATGAGTGACTGTCATTTCGGCCTAATCGACAAAAGCTGCAGACACGAACCGCAAATTATTGAGCGGGTCGTCGTAGAACCGAAAAATGGCGTTTGCCGTAAACGTCAAAATTAGCTTCAATTGGCCGAAATCCCGAAAACACGACACCTGTGTTATTCGCCTGGAGAGAGAAACTGCGGTTGTTTACAATGAGAGCGCGCCTTCGTCTCATAACTCTTTTATGAACTGTATTTCCAATGTGGTCTGTCATTAGCAGGTTAAAAAATTCCATCAGCAAGCGAATGAAACCACAATTGCTATTTGCTTATCGTGGGGGTGGGTCTTAGTCGGTTGTTCGACAGCCGGTGGTCCTCGCAGCGCCCGCAGACAAATCTTGAACTAGATTTTACTGAATTTCTTTGTTTGGTAGAGTTTTCGCTGTTAAGTTTTTATCTCTAATTCGAGGGCGGCCTCACAACTGGAAGACCTAGACAAAAATGAAAGGGGTTTTATGATTTAAATTGTGGTTCTTATACAATCGGCCTTGATCTTGGGCTTCTCATAACCTACGGCGTGAGACAACCAGTGGTCCTTGGGCGGTGAATTTAACTTGCGTGTGTATATATGGGTAAACTGTACAACTACTAATAAGACAAACAAACGATTACAAACAGAACAACAAACAAACGGCATAAATACACTCGCACACACGCCGGAAAACAGTTATTAATTTAGCCTTCCTCAGTGTTGCCTTTTAAAAGTTGCATAACCGAACAGGAACTAGGAAGAACAACTAGGATGTGGAGAAGAGGGGTTGACCTTGGATGGAAAGGGACCCTTTGCACTCATTTTTAAGAGCAGAACATTTTGCTAATAAGCGTCAAATGCAATGCATTAGCTAAGTAACATTCTTCAGCTAGCAAAATGCCGTTGCCAAGAAGCCAAAACCTCCTCCATTCAAAAATCAATTTATCGTATGTCAAGGGTGGTTTGTCCTTTGTCGCGAAAGTTTTTTTGTCTATAAAAACTGTGACCGAGGCAGGTGAATATGATTTTGAAGATACCCGTGTTTCTGTAGTCTTTCTTTTCCTGCCTTACGCAGATCTCCAATCTGTCCAATCAGTTGTTTTGGCTCGCTTCACCAACTGTATGTCGGTAATAGCTGTCATATTTATGTATATTTGAGACGATCTTTTGCATATTTTTTGCTCTATCACAACAAACCTTTTGACTCAAAACTGTTTCATCTTTTCGCTCCAGCGGCCCCAGCAAAGAGATTTTTGATGCCGCAAAGTTTCATTCTCCAGAAATAATATCACATTTGAAACTCGTCGTCTCACGGGGAGATAGACGGGTTTGTTTTGGTTCTGTTCGCGTCGAGAGCAGCAGGTTTTCTATCATTGCTGTTACTATGCAAATTACACTCAGTGCTGTGCATATGTGAAAGATTCAATTCCCCGAATCGCGCGTGCCCAATGAAATCCTGGGAGCGACATTTGTGACTATTCCATACTATCTCTGTGTCGCTGGTCTAGAAGAATGTCCCATCGATAAGATCGTGCGCTTTACGAGGACTATAATCTCTGGCTGATTAGAAAACCAACCTGTAGGCGCCAACAGTCGATTGTAAATTCCTACATTCGAAAGAACTGATTCGCTCTGCTCAGCGCCGCGTCTTGGATGAAGTTGGAAGACGTCAGCCCCGTAACAGAGATCGCAAAGAGAGGAAATTCCCGAGATTAATATTGTCTGAATGTGACCACGTGTCAAGAACGTCGTATTTCGACACCGACACAATGACTTTGGAGAAACTGCAATGAAAACTGCGCGCAAAAAGTGGCATTTATGGCAACATGTTTTTTGACTCACTGCTCTGAGGTGTCATCTCGACTCGCGAGTAACTCGAACATTGTTATCTGGGGCCTCGCGTCCGCCGCGTTTGTTTCATTATCCCCTATGTCAAATGGAATCAGAGTTCTTTTTCCTCAAAACGTGAGCCACACAAGTAAGTTCTACGGCTTTCGGAAATCGTATGTTGATTTAAGAGTAGCTACACAGCTCGCGAGTTACTGCTAGCCTTCTCAAAACATCTGCCAGTGTTTCAAGGCGGCCAAGTAAATTTACAGTTTTTATCATACAGTTAACGCGAAGTATGGATTTGGCAATTGGATGCGAAATTATATAACGACATCTGTGTACTATGGATTAGCGAGAAGCCGTCAAACTCTTGCTAATAACTGCGAAAACATTTCTACCTCTAGTATGTTTATATCCCTTATTTACATTTCCTGTTTATTGAAGGCGACGTGATAATTTATTCAGTGAATTAATAAATTACAAGTTTAGATCGAAAAGGAATCAATAATTTATGAGAATCGGGCCCTTTCAGTATCTGAAGCGGGACGTCTTCTCAAATTTTAAGTTTTCTCCTCTTATTTACAATATTTTTCTCGCAAAAAAGGAAAAATGTGGCGGTACGGTCGAAGGATTTACCGGGTTCCTCAGAGAAATCCCCCTCCGGCTAGTACCTCATGCCAGTTATTAATCAAATGTTTCAATCCGGACTTTAGGTTCGCCGTATTTAACAGATCGTAAAGTGGAGATGGACGGTCCGCCAGGAGTGTCAACGGTTCCTGCAACTCCTGATAAACTGCATCAGAACTCTGTGAACTTTGCTCCGGGGAACAACATCACAAACTCCTCAAACAAGCGCCATTCGGCCCGTGACTCGATCACTTTGTCTGGTATCAAGACTCAAGTGGAACCCCTTCTAAACGAACTGAGTGGCGACAGATTCGTAATAAACGTAAGTGGCTTGAAATTCGAAACACACGTTCAGACTTTAGAACAATACCCGGAGACCTTACTAGGCAATCCAGGGAAGCGACGCAAGTACTTTGATTCTGTCCGGAATGAGTATTTTTTCGATCGCAATCGACCTGCCTTCGATGCAATTTTATTCTACTACCAATCAGGGGGAAAGCTTTTGCGTCCTGCTAATGTACCCATGGATGTTTTTGCTGACGAAATTCGCTTCTACGACCTCGGCGAGGACATTTTACACAAGGTAGAGCAGGAAGAAGGGTATATTGAGGAGGAACAGCCTATTTTACCTGAAAATAAATGGCAGAGAAAGATCTGGCAACTATTTGAGTTTCCCGATACTTCGTTAGGAGCGCGTATTGTCGCAATTTTTTCTGTGTTGGTGATCACTCTATCAATAGTGACATTTTGCGTCGAAACACTGCCGCAGTTCAGACAGGAGGACAGTGGAGAGAAGAAGAAACAACCTTGGTTTACTCTAGAGACTGCGTGTATAATATGGTTCACATTTGAATACGTAATGAGATTAATATCGTCTCCTCAAAAACTGGTGTTTGTGCGCTCGTTTCTGAACCTCATTGATATAGTAGCTATTTTACCTTACTACATAACATTACCTATGCAAGACACCAAAGCCTCCAGCTTCGGCGTGTTGCGGGTGATTCGACTGGTGCGCGTTTTTCGTATATTTAAATTATCGCGACATTCCAGAGGACTGCAGATTCTAGGGCACACTCTACGCGCAAGTTTGCGCGAGCTAGGACTTCTAATTTTCTTCCTTCTAATCGGCGTTATTCTCTTTAGTTCGGCGGTATATTACGCGGAAGGTGGAGAGGATGAAACCAATTTTAAGAGCATTCCCGATGCATTTTGGTGGGCAGTAGTTACTATGACAACCGTCGGTTACGGTGACATGAGGCCCATCACGGTGTGGGGAAAGATCGTAGGATCGCTTTGCGCCATTTCCGGTGTGTTGACGATCGCGCTTCCAGTGCCTGTAATCGTATCCAATTTTAACTACTTCTACCATCGTGAGAACGAACAAAGGGCGGCCGAACAAAGCAAGAAGGAGAAAGAACGCAAGGAAAGCGAAAGACTTCTGAAGGAGCAACAAGAACAGGAACAAGAACGCAAATATGGTGCCATTGACCACAACGGGATGAACGGCCCGGAATCGACTGGGGTCGAAATGGAGATGTTAACTTCCCTGGATAACATTCCTTCAAACATGACGGCAAATAAACACAAGGCAAACACGGCAGTTGTGTCTAATTCTATGCCGCTTGTGGACTACCCTGACGCCACCATACGATTTGAAACGGGGGTGTGATGTCAGGCGTGCCGCATTTATTGTTATTTAATTTGGAGGCTTTTGAGGGAAGATTGGGAGTTGTGCTACAAAGAGATCCATCAGATAAGAGCTCAGTGTCGAGAAGAAGAAATAAAGAGCTAACTTAATACCAGTAAGTCGCCCTACGGTACATCTCTGGCCGATGCACGCGTAATTTCCTTACGGCTGTGTTTGCTCCGCAGCGTGGAATAGTTAGGAGGGAGAGAAACCATAAACCAAGCCAAGGAATGGCATCTTGCCGAAAGATTTGACTTACAGTTTTCTCAATATTAAATGGCGATCACTTGCTGTTTGCCCGGCGAAAAGAAAGAGAGAAACCAAACTTTTAAGCTGTATTCTGCTTAAATCCAAAGAAAAACAACTTTAATAAACGATAAATCGAGCCGTCGCTCCGAGATGGCGTATTCATTTTTTTATATTATAAAATTCACTGATTTATAATTGATATAGTAATACTAGGTGGCACAACGCTTCGGCTACGAACGAAAAGCCAAACAGTGTTTTTTTTAGTTTGAATATGAAAAGAACTAAGGAATTCGCTCTGAAATGAGCTAAAATTAGTTACTACGGTCAAAAACAGAGTTTTCAACAAGCAACCAGCAGCTCAAACTTATATTTTTTGGCAACAAAGTTGTCAAATTCTAGTGGATTTTCTTTGTAACCCAGGTACAAATTAATCGTCGTGAATTCCTGGTTACATTTATTTTAAGTTTGAGACATTTTTAGTTTCCTTGCGTCTTTAAACGTCGAACAAAGATTTTTCGATTGGCGAGGACTTAAAACGCTTTAACTAAAGCGAACAATTTCCTTAGGCGGAGAAAGTTGGTGTGTTCGCAGGCGGTGATGCCCGTTTGAATTTTTAGATGGTTTGAACAAGATTTTTGGGCAGAAGTTACCGTCCAATCAATCTATCAAATGTAAGTAATTCTATTTTAAAACGCACAACTGTAAAATGAAAACAAGCGCTGTGAAAGGACATAGATTTTAAAAGAACTTTTACATCGCTTCAGTTGTTGACGCGAGGAAACTTATAGTCGGTAGAAATTTGAGCGAACCTACCAGACTATTAAAAAAATGCTGAAGAGTAGAACTATTCGATAATATAATTTTAGGTAGGAAACAGCCAAACCTAATATATACCTGTCATTTCAGCACTATGAAATGAATGCGTTATTGAAATAAAATTGATTTGAATTTATAGCTTCATCGGGAAATTTGACTGAGCAGTATAATTTGCAAGATACTATTTAAGTCTTAAGGAATTTGACCAGAAATCTGGCGGGAAATGATGGATAGCAATTGTGACAGCTTTGATATATTTTGTGTTGTTTATGTTTAATTTCCTTACCCGACATATAGACTACGAGTTTTAACACGTTCGAGGAGTAATTCCCCCTTTAAAAAATATAATTTTCTTAGTCGATTGAGATTGTTTTTGTCCTTATTATTTTTTATTGACGATGAAATTTTGGCGACTTCTACTATAAGCACCTGAATTGAAAGTGTTGAAGAAAATACGGCATTTTTTTGTATCAGTGCAAATTAAAACCATGTTTTTCAATTTCTTTAATGTTACCACTAGGTTTTTTTTTCTTCTGATTAAATTCACGGCAAGCTCAGTGTTAGGCGATTGGCTTTGTTATAAACTGTACCCGTTTCCGAGAACCTTCCCATATTTTCATTAGATTCAAATTGTTTACATGTACTTTAGTCACGTTCTTGCATATTCTTGTTAGCTCAATCGTCTTTTTATATGTGTGTTCTGTCTTTAACTTTCTTTCAAAAATTGTTTGATTTAAGAGAATAACAATCGAAAGACACAATCCGATATCATAGGTGAAACAAGAAAACAACAAAATAAAGCCGTAATTGGAAAAGTTTCAGTTATTCTTTTGAAGCGATAACTTGTCGTCTATTTAAAAGCTATATCCCAAAGTCAATTTTGCGAATTTCCAAATCTTTTAATGTTTTGTATCTCGGATCGGTTTCAGATAGTTCCAAAACTACATATGCGAACCGCGAACTTACCTGAACTTATCGGCGTTTATACAAAGATGAACCCCAGCTGAGAAAATAAATTGGTTTTATTTAACTTTTTTCGTGAAATGCCTGTTTTTTATCTGCAGGAGACTGTATTGTACTGACCCAGAGACTTCGCTTTTCTCGTGTCGAGATATATGAACAAACTGAATTGCACGGATTACCGAGGAGAAAAAAAATCTTTCTCGTTCTGTAGCCTCCCCTGGACATTCTACTTAAAAAATTCCTCCGTTTTTCGCATGAGATTTATTTATTTCTTAAGTGTAACTACCAAGTGGGAATAACAATGTTTCATTATTTATAATTTGAACGTAAACGTATAGCTTATCTGATGTGTATTTTACAATATTAGTGATTTTCATTTTTGCGTCCAAACTCTCATTCAACGAGCGTATTTCTTATCCTTTATTTTTCTTCCAACTCGATTACATAACGCTGAGAACGCGAAATGCGGCGTAATTATTTTCGATTGTTACAGCGTGAAATTCAGTTTTAGCGCCAAAAATACGACACGCAAATCATCACAGCGGAATTCTTTGTCTTTCTTCGCGAAAGAACGTTGTTTGCCTTATCTGGACGGCTTTTTTGTGTTATCTCTGTTATTATTTACGGAGAAAACACGAATGCATTTTAGACTTGACAACTTTGACCGACCCAAACAAAGGTAACCCGCTTCTATTTAATAGAGGACCCCTTGAGTTTATCATACAGTGAACAATGCGGACAACCGCTCGAGCAAAGTCAGTAACCATCTGGCCGTCATTTGGATTGTATGGAAATAAATAAATGGTGAATCAGTAGGTACTTGAACTACCAGCTATAGATAAGCTGGACTTGAAAATTAATTTTCGGGCGAAATACGTACGGGTTGCGCAGTGAATTCAACATCGAAATCGGGCGTCTCAGCACTCCCTACTCATGCTCTGCTTAGCAGGTATATTTCGTTAGATTTTTTTGCTAATTCAATTTTCGTATAACTTTTGGTAGATTCCCCGCCTCCGATCTGTTCTCTCCTCTGCCCTGACAATGCTTTTGCCTAGACCCTCGATATAACGAAGTACCAAGGGACCGGCAAAATTTGTTTACTATAATGAGGTTTGGTTATATCGAGGTTCCACTGTATTGGACTCTAAGAAGTAGTTTTTCGTCGAGAGAGTCAAGCAACATCAAGCATGAACACAGCCTGTTATCACAAACGTATTGTCATTTTAACTGTCGGTGGATATACAATATAGAGGCCTTTTTAAATTGCTTTTAATAGTAGTTGAGCTGGCCATTTTTTTCTAGAAACTTCTCGACTCTCCATGTTAAATTTAGAAAAATTTTGCAGAGGAACGCGATTTCAATCTGTCAATCAGCTTAGAAGCATCCGCTCCTTTTATATACATTAAATTAAAGTATACATCCAAGTAATAAGCTTATTTTTTTGCCGTTTACTCTCGACGTTTTCATCTTTAATCTGGTTTATAGTTGATCAGCTTTATTCCGGTTTTCGACTCTTTTAATATAAAATAAAAGTGACTCAACACGTACTCTTTGAGTTTCTTTCAGTTCCCTTATTACAAAATATAGACAAAAAAAGTCGCTCCCTCGTAAAGAGGATATCTCAGGCGAATGATCACTCAACATAAAAACTGCACACAAGTTGTGCTTTGATTCTAAGAAAAGGAAATATGGTTCATGTTTTTGCCATGATTCTTTCTCTAGTTTTTAATTTTAATACATTGGACAAAATCCAATTTTGTCTAATTTATTAAAATATTAAAATAGTCATTTACAAGTGAATATCTAAAAATATATAACATGAAGTATATTTTAAGATATTTAAATATAAATGTCTTCTTCCTTCGACCTCTCGCGGAGTGATGAAGTGATGAATATGTGTCTGTTTTTTTAAAGATTCTATGGTAGCGTCTTAATAGTGAAATTTAGCCCAGGCGTCACTGTAAAATTCAGTTACAGTCTGGCAAACTGATTCGAAAGAAATATTACAAAGACGTACGACTACTATATTTACTCGAGAGAGCACCGCGGCGCTTTTTAAAGGGGGGAGGAGGGAGGGGACACTTATTTAAAGCCTATTTGCGAAAGACAAAGCACTTTGTAATATTTTTCTCTCTTTTTTCCTTTATCAAAAAACGATAACAACAGCATGGGAAGAACATAAAGTTTTAAAATTCTTTCTTAGCCATATCAGTGTTTCTTTTCAGTAAAATAACAACCAAAACAGCAATAACAACATCGCCGTATTAGCATTTCAGCATTAACAATAAACCAAGAAAGGAAGAACCAATATGCGCTGCATTGTTTCTAGCAGAATGCGGCGCTTATTCGGAGGAGGCGCTCTTTCGAGTAAATTGGTTTTGTATATGCAATTACTTTCACGCAGTATGCTACTGTACGCCAGAGCGCCCTAACAAAAAACAAATTTGATGTCTCTTATCTTCCCGTCATTCCTTATTAGTCTTGTCAGTGAGGTTATTCGGGAGACTTCCATACGGTAGAGAATGTCGCTTCTTCCGATCAGCTTCTTCTGTGTTGCGGTGGATCAGTTCTACGTTCTTTGATAAGGGTAGAGCGCAAAACTTAATTTTCTATGAGAAAAGACCAGATCCTAAACTAATCGCACATCAGTTGCCGATCTTAAAATTTCAGTAACCCCTGCAATAATGAAGTGCCACAAGGTAACAATCAAGTTGTTCTGTGCAATTTCTTGCTTGGTCATCGGAAACCAAGAATTAGATATGTCGAAACTACAAATATTTGGCGCCGATACAGTTGGTTATGGTTACAAGCTGGAATAAAACTATTTTATCGTCTGTTTTACGATGCAATGTTTTTTTTTCTGTTTACTGCCAGTCTTCATAAGGCGCTCAGATCAACTCAAAACACGAGGCGTCACCGCTGTGATGGTGATTTCCGATTGGTGTATTTTAGATCAGAGTTTCGCCCAATGTAAGGGAATCCAGATTCCGGAATCCAAGAAAAGTTTGCCTGTAGAATCTGGAATCCTGGGTTTTGGAATCTGGAATACAGCTTAAGGAATCCGGAATCCTACTAAAGACTGGGATCCAGAATCCAGGTTCCAATGACAAAGAAATTCGGAATCCACGGCGTGGAGTCCAAAATCCAAGACTGTCTTGGATACGTAAGGCGAAAAGTTGGAGAGGCCCGAAGGAGCTACCCTACGTTGCAGCCGGTCTCGTCACTCGATACCTAGATCAGAGAGATCTTTATCGGGGATTAATAGAATGTCTGCGATACAGGCTAGGGGGAACTTGCTATGAAATGGCTTATGTCCTGATCTCAATTAGAAAAAACAAAACAAGGCTCTGTTGAGTAGCAATAATCGCTTTAAGTAACCAAGTGTTCCCGGCGGGAGTTTTTCAGGCGAGACACGCGCTTTTCCCTGTCGCGCGTGTCTTGCGCTCCACGCCTGCTTCGTGCTCGCCTGAAAACGCAAAAAAGTAGCTCCTGTTCTACAAGTTAGCGAATTCAAGGTTACTCGAAGGTTACCACAAATCATAGCTACAACCATTCTTGCCATGTTGCAAGTGTTTATTTTGTATATTTACAATGCTTTCAATTACAAACGCTTCCGCGTTGAAAGCTTCACAGAGACTGGAATACACAAGTTTATCGATCATGTTTTGCTAATGTTACCACAACTATTTAAGCGTCATTTAAATTGTCAGATTCAAAAACAGAAATAAACATGAATGAATGATGGTAGTAAGGGTATCATCCTTGTACAATGGCCTACTTTCATCAAGAGTAAGAATCGAGGAGCAAAGGAGAGACTGTATCTGTGGCCTTCACGTTCGCGTATTTTGGTCCACCTGTGGCCTGTTTCTCGAAAGTCCTGATAATTACCGGGCCCAGACAGCTGTTTTTGTTTACGTTCAAGATCGAGTTTTGCAGATAAAGTGATAAAATTATCAAAACAAAAGATACAACGATTGGTAAGCTACGACCCGGGAGTTTATTCTTTAGTTACTGATCTGAATATTTCATATCGGGCCTGTCCTGTTTCTCAAAAGATCAGGTAACTTTTCGGGTGCAAAGGCAAATTTTGAAATCAAAACCGATTGAATGGTACCACAGTTCGTAGATCAGAAACCAGTCATTTTTGCTTCGTTAACTGATAGTTTCATTGTATCATTTTCAAGAC